CTCGCTCGCGCAACTTCCTCTGATGTCTAAACTCACGGCTGCTCCTATCGCTTCGATACATACTCGTAGTAAAGATATTCCTCTGCCCCTCCGGGACACGCGGGAAAACCAAAAATAAGATATTCCCATTTTTGCTTAGGAGAGAATGAAGTGCCAATACTATTTTGCGTCGTTATTTTGTTCCCCGCTTCGAATCTACTGACGGTATAAAGAGAACACAACTATCCTATAGATGCATCATCGGCAGGATTTCGCGCTTAAAAGGCATCTAGGATGAATTTGATCTCCATATGAGCTTAGCCGCGTGGAACGGAATCTAGCAAATACTAGCACTGATGGTCAAGAAAGCTCACTATATGATGATACTGAAGCCGACAATAGTTCGTTTTTCATAACCGACGAGTGCCAATGCCATAAGGCCGTGTTTGATTGGTGCTTGTACCTTCACCTCCTGTATCCTCTAGTATCATTAAGAGAACGATCGATAGATGATGCTACAGCTGATTCACAGCCTTTCCTCTACATGGACTGGCGCCATTTCCCTTACCTCGCATGGTAGGCTATTTCTGTGGCATTTAATTGACTTTTCACGCTTCGTACCTAATTTGCGTCCGGCATCTGTATTTAAACTAGGGGCATTCAACTTCCGACTCTACGTTGCAATTAAGGCTCGGCCGAGTCAGGAAACCAACTTCATCTGACCCAGTCAATGGCTACGCTTCTGCTTTTGACAATAAGTGGCGCCACTGTTTCAAGGTTTACTGTGTCCTGAATTATCTAGTACCGACTATCCAGACATTCCACACAAAGCCAACAGCAAAGTGCTTAACTGGCGTTCTTAATAGCCAAGCTATAAACACGCGGAAAACTTCTGAGATTGTTTGGGTGGTACGCTGTGACAACCAGAATCACTTCCAACTCCTTCTTAACTCACAGAAAACTAACTAGCACAAACGCATCTGCTCGTATCAACATTTGGAGGCCAAGAGATGGGATTTCACAAGGTTTGATACTGTACGCAGTACACATCAACTTGACGAACAGGTCGACCTTCGTGCCCGACAATGTCCGCCGCACGCCCCAGAGCAACGTGGGCGCAGGGACGGTAACTTGCGCTTGAGTTATTTTAAGGTGATAGCAGACTTGCGAAGCATCTACCGCACTCTCTCCCCCTCTTCCATCTGAGTTCGGTGCCAAGGCAGAGTCAAGAAGACTGCGAGCGGTATATTGCGCAGGTGACAGATGTGGCGTAAGCCTGCGCCTAGACGTACCACCATGTCCCACCACGTCCAACACGTACAACTGACCAGGATTCTAAACAGCAAGAAAAAGGAGGACGGCTCGGATCCTACCTGAGCGGAAGTGCCATAATGGCGACTTTAAGAAGGAGCCAATGCAGTCTCCTCCTCAGTCCACCAGTCAGTCACTCCGCAAAAACACACCGGGCTGACTGCACGGTCTGAGTTGAATCGTCAGTTGGCAACCTTCCAAGCCACGAATTTTATGTACACCGTAGTAGTCTCTTGGGACTTCGATTAGGGCAGATAGTGGTCTGTTATCAAGCGGTTAAGCCGGCACTTTGCGGCAATTCCCCACCAGTGATTTCGAACAGGTCTTAGCCTTACATCCAGCGAGAGGAGTTGCTTGGACAAGACAGTCTGCTTATCAGATGATGAGAGGATAGCTGTTTAAGTTCAGCTATGATTTCCTCTCGATTAGTAGCAACGAAGTTAAATCAAGCAGCCAGCAGAAAGTCTAATTTTGGCAGGAGCATGCGGGAAACTGATGACACCCGCTCCCCACTACCTCCGCCCTCGTTCCTTTGCCAAATAACTTACATATGCTTACTTCGCTGGCGAATTGAATAACGCCACTGGTTGGTGTCACACTGGTGCGGTAGAGACCGGGGGTCGGCGCAGCAGACAAATGACAGTTCGACCATCGGTTTCGATGATGTCCACCGTGTGCCCCACAGTTGCAGCGGCAATGGGAGCAGGGACGGTGACTTACGCAGGGGTTTATAGTGCCGGTAGACTTGCGTAGCATCTACCTACACTCTCTCCTCCTCCCCCGCCTGGACCCGGTGTCAAGACAGAGTCAAGAAGACCGG